AATGCAGTCAGGCAGATAACGTTTCCCCCGCATCCGCCAAACCCAGACTCGACAAGGCTTGAGTATAAAAATTAACATGATCATTAGTTGCAATATTTTAGTAGGCCTACGGCAGTTATCTGAATGGTCACATCATATCTACACCTTCTTTTGATTCTGAGTTGTGCAACAGTATTGTTTTGCTATGTGACAGAAAGAAATTACAGTGAGTCAAATCCAGCCTCCCTCAGCTGTTTATGTACTCTACTGCTTGTCTTCTGCTTTTGCCAGTATTTCTCCCAAAGAGACTCCAACTACAACAGATACGGGCAACACAGAAAGAAAGAAACAATAGTCTTAGTTTTTTAGGTTCGCAAACATTTCTTTTGAGTTTATCAAGCAGTTTTCTCAACCCACAAAAGAGCAATTTACCCTTCAACTGAATGTACAGCATGACAATAAACAACATGTCTAGTTTCACAACAGACAGCAGGAAACAAAATTGCAATAATTTTATAGACCTATTTTGTGATTTAAATTTATCTTCCAAACTTTGAAATGATAACCCTGATGTCATCAATTATCTCAGGTTGGACTGGAAATTTAAATGTTTGAACAGAAAGCCAAGGTTACAAGCTGGGGGCTGTTTCACATCAACAGAATTAAGAAGTCCAGCATAATCAAAAGGATCTAGTCTAGTCAGAGCCTCCTGGCTTCATAGGGTTCATGTAGGTCAAGCCAGGCAGGAAGCGTGACTAGGCGTAGCCAGGTGTAAGTAATTTGGATGAATGCGTGTTCATGGCTTTCTTAAAAAGACCACAAGCTGGATCACAGATTTACTGGTGCAGAAATTCAAGCAACATGCTTTACACCCACCGAACAGCTTCAATGGAAGCTTATGAAGAAGTCAAACACATTATGTTAAAAAGGAAACACTTATAGTTATTGATATTAATCATAAATCATTTTTACATGAACATTGAGACTGCGGAAGGATTTTCTGTTTTAGTCTTAGTCTTAGAGTTTTATATTGATGTGTGTACAGTCCAGTGCAACAATAACATTAGGAGAACCTTTAACCCAAACCCAAGTATTTATTTAAAGTAGGCTATGAAAAAAAAAATTTTAATCTGTAATTAATGTTACTGGAAAGATGTGGTAATGAAGATGTGCAAAACTCCTTTCAGTACCAAATATACTTTTTGTTATGGAGTGGCAAATTTTTTTTGCTCAGATTTTCAGTATCTCCTACTGCATATAAGAACATGCCACTCACAAAAAAATCACAGAGTAATACAAACAATCTGTGGGATGGTCAGGGTGTGGCTCTGTGCTGTGCAGTGCTGCATTTTTGGATCCAGCAGGCTGAAAATCTGTATGGCTCATACAGGTCAAATGACGCACTCTGACTGTCTGTCCCTAATGCCCACACCAAAATGGTCAAAACAGGCTTTCATGTTCTCTGCCCCTGCAACCTGGAACCACTTCCAGACAGTTTTGCGGTTTGATAGGCTGATCCCAGTTAGAGCATTTACAAACTTAGCAAAGGGTTTGGAGGCTAATAAAATTGCAACTTCTTCCTTAGCTAGATCTGTTTCCTCCTGTTTGTTTTCCTAGACTTATAATTCTGTGAGCTCACAATGTCTTTTTTTATGTGTTTTAATGTCCAGTTTTTTCGTTACCTTAGAATGAG